AGACGGCGTCCTGCCAGCCATTCCTCCTCCTCTGGCTGCTGCGGAAGTGCCCGGCTGGGAAGTTTGCGGCCGGCGGCGAGGGGAGGCCGGGGGGGCTCTGTGGAGGTGGGTGAAGGGGAGCGGGCTGAGAGACATCGCCCCTCGTCCCTGCTCCGTGCTGGCGGGCAGAGCGCATGGAGGGATGTTGTTATCACCTTCTGGCAGCAATCTTTCAACAAGCTTTCTCTTTCGTTTTCCCCTCCCTCAAGGTACCATGCCGCCCAAAGGTCCCGGCAAAGGCAAGCTGCCAGTCCCGCTCCCTAAAGACATGATCCTGAAAGACACCGAAGGAAAAACCTGGAGGCTGGGCAATCAGATCGGCCAGGGAGGATTTGGCCTGATCTATTTAGGTAAAATACTGCTGATAATTAAGAGCGTGACTTGCAAATTTTTTTGTAACTTCCTGAACTGGAAAAGGCAGTAATTTTTAAAAGCCTGGTTTACATGCTTTTGGTGATCCTTGCTCCAAGCGTGGTTTTCTGGGCTGTTGTTTCTGCTCGTGATACAGAGTGTTCTCCATGGTCTGTCCAGCTCGTTTTGCTGGATACTAACACGATTTTCTATGGATCTTGAGTGGGGTAACCTAGGTGCCGCTGTGTCAAAGCACCTCCAGGTGATGTTTTTCAAAGTAAAAGTGCTTTTCTTAGGCATGGTTTTGGCCTTATGTCGCCTCATGCTCTGTAGCCCACTTTCAGTTTCTGCTTTTTGGAAGTGTTATTTTCTGGCCAAGAGCAAATTAGTTTGGATCCAGGAAATGAAACAGTAACAATACTTAGCTGGGTGCTGCCTCTGAATTCACGTCTTTTCAGCAGAGGTGGAAATGGTGTTCAGTATTTGCTCTGGCCTAGATAAGTTTCTGTGATTCCTTCAGAAGAAGCCGCTGCATTTCAGTTTGTGCTCTGTGAGGAGTGAATAGCTCTGAAAGGCAGTTTGTAAAGCATTCTGGGTCACTGCAGAGGGTGTAATGTATGTTGCTGTTGCTGGTCTCTGTGGAAGAGCAAGTCCTGTGTCCAAGGCAATATTATGAGCTTGGGTGGTTTGGTTTTTCTTTTTTTTCATAGCAGCATATAGAAACTAGTTCACAGTGTCTGTTTGGAGCGAAGTTGAGCTTGTATGGAGCAGTGAGGAATCAGCTAGTAGCAGTTTACTGCATTGTCCATGAAGCCTAACATGATCTTTTTGAGTTACAGTAATATTAACTCTATTTGAAATTCTGAGACTTAAAACTTAATAAGCAAGTCACTCCTATACACAATCCAGCTTCCTTTTATGCAGAAATCAGCACACAATACAGTAGCAGTACATCCAAGAGGTCCCTGTGGTGAAGTTTCTGGTTTGGTTTCCTCTGGAATTTCTATAGTTCACAGAGTTCCTCACTGCTCTGCAGACAGAGCCAGTGGGAATGACAGAGGTTTCAGGTAACAGAGTTGTCAAAGGGTAGGGCACTTGTTAGACTATTTTCTTTTTCCTTTTGGTACATCTTATTTGCTTTCTATGACCACCTGTGAACCATTAGCTGGTTACATTTGAGAAGTGCTGTGAGCTGGGCACATGAGGAAATGGACCCTAACATGGGCTAAGAAGTAAAGGTGTCTCTGGGAACTTCCATTCCAAGGTAAAGGACAGGGAGATGGGAACCTGCAGAAGTGTCCCACAGACAGAAGGCTGTGAGGGAGCTGGGGATGAGTGCAGAGAGCAAGTTTGTAGTGAGTGTAGCTCTCCATGTGTAGGACCAGTAATGCTGTGTTCCTGAATCCCTCAGAATGTGGCTCTGTCATTCCCTGCTGCAGCCAAATCACACTGGACCTTGAGCGTGGATTAGCACGGGGCATTCAGACAGGTCCAGGCAGATTTGAGTTTTCTGCCTGATCACAGAGCCCACCAAGGTGGTTTCTTATACTGAGGTGTTTGTTGCAGTTTGGCTCCCATTGAACTGAGGTGGAGAGCAGTCAGTGGGTTACAATGAGAGTCAGGGACTCTTGGTATTACTATTCTCTGTATTTTGTAAGTGACAGCATGGCTGAGGAAATGCAGCTGCCACTTTTTTAATGGTATTTGTGTTCATTTAATCCCTTCTTTCAGCAGGAACAGTGAATGCTACCTGCAGCACTGCACTGAAGGCTCAATTCCCCTTGTAGCTCATCAATTAAAGAGAAAATAGACATTCATCCCTAAGTATTGACACTGAAGCTTTCTCTTTTTGTTGTCCACCTCTTGATCTCTGTGTTTATATTAAAGTTTACCATTCAGCAGCTTCTTGATGCTACAAAACTCAGCTGTCTTTGAGAACCATGGGGAGTGAAGTGGATGACAAGTTTTTGTGATAAAGATACAGGTTTTGGAGACACCTCCTTTGCTCTGTGCTGTTCAGACCTGTTTTAGAACATCCAGAGCAAGGTGTGAGAGAACCACTATCTTTGAGAGAAGGAGCTGTAGAGAGGTGGAGACAGGAGGTTCGATTGCCTGCCAGGTATGAAGAGCACAGCCCTTTTACTAAAGTAAAGGTTAACTTTGCCAGCTATATCTTTTAATAAGTATTTTTACAGTAGCAGTGTAAAGATTTTGATGTGGTTGTTACAGCTTAATTTCCCATTAAGGGTATTCCATACTCCATTAATCTATAACAATGTTCTTGAGAAATTTTACAGTATCTCTGCAAAATCTATTTACTAGGGGTGCACTTTGTGGAAGAAGGTTCTGTTCATTAAATCAAAGCTGCTGAAAGCCATTGAGTCCCAGATGCAAATGTAGGGCTTCAGAACTTCTAATTGTGGGCATGAAAGTTCTTCAGGTTCTGCCCTGCCTCACAAACGCTTTCCCTTGTTCTCTGATGATTCTTACTCTTTCCATTCTGTTCCAAATTGTTGTGCTGCTGCTGCTTTGCTCTCAGGTAGAGCTGTTCCCCCTTTGGTAAGGGGAGCAGAATGAAGAGCACCTGTGGAAGGCTGGGACTTTGGTGCTCTCACAACTCTCTGGTTTGTAGCCCTGTGGAGAGCAGGGGAAAATGAACCAAGGAGCCTTACATTCTCTCATTTATCTCTCTGATCACAGGCAGTAATTAACACCAATCTTTGTATAAATCATTCTCTAGTCCTGCTGCAAGCACTCTATTAATGCACAATTTGGACTGAAAATTTAAGTGCAGAAAGGTCACACAATGTTTTGTTAAGGTTCCTCTGTCACGTGGAGCCTGCTGCATCCAGTGCTATCTACTTGCAGGCTTCTTTCTCATGGAAAGGGATGGTTCTGAAAAATAGAAATGTTTTTTAGAATTTATGTACAAATGTTTATTGGATGGTGTCTTTTAGGAAAGAACTTATTACATTGTAAATGTGTTTTAATGTTATGAAGCTCAGGAAAATAAGTGTCGTCATTGAACTGTACCCTGCTTGGAGATCAGTGTAGCCAGTGCACTTTCCTTTCCTTTTGTGTTGTTTTTCCTCACATTTTCAAGGAAGAGAGAATTTCTTCCTAAGCAGTGATTAAATGTGTGAATATTGTCTTTTAATCCTAGCAGTACAGGGAGCCCTGCTACTGGAGGAGGTAAGGAAGATGTCTGCTAGGTCCTGTTCTTTTAAGCTGGGGTCATAGTGCAGTCTAACTGCAGATATTCTGGGAATCAGGCTGAGGTGGGAAAGAGAGTTTGTTTCTGTTTCAGATTGATTTCCATGGATGATTTGTATAGTTGTGAGCAGGGATGTACCTGTGTCAAGGAAGAGAAGCATCGATGGAAGCACACTTGGTCCTGTTGTTCATTCCTTGGTTTGCTTGGGAAGCTGCTTCAGCAGTTGCTTCTGGAGAAACAAAGGCCTTCAGCAGTTGCTTAAATTAAAATAATTCAGCAAATTAATAAAAAATGCAGTAAAATTATACCAAAAGATAAATTCAGCATGGCTTTTATTAGCTCAATGGAAGGACAGATCATAATAGCAAAGCCCTGCAATTAAAAGCACTAGCAGGTAACTCAGGTTAGGGATGGATTTTTCTCAAATTCAAGGTGAAAAAATACCTGCAGGTGTGAAAATAAATTTGTTAGTAGACAAACACCACTTCAGGTAGGGTCTTTTTGTCTACTCACTAATAATAACTGAACAAATACAGATACTGCAAAGTGGCCTTTGAAGGCTAAGTCATAAACTTAGCATGATTTTGCTACTCAGAGGCTTCTTAGGGCTGCCTGACCTGCACTATCTCAAAAAGAGAAAATATTCCTTACCTTTAGTAGTTCTTGCTGGTGAGTCCTTCCTCTGGAACCTTCCCCATTTCTTTTTTTCTTTTGGTCCCCTGTAAGCTGAAAGTCTTCACTTGGAATGTGTATCTCATTTTTGCACAGTAGTGGAGAGCCTGTTACAAAGCCTGCAGAGGTCATTGCTCTTACACTGCAGTGTTCTGCCATATCATGTGTGGGGATTCTTCTTCCATATGCTGAGTAATGCTGGGAGGTCAGGAGAGCAGTTTTGGTGGAATTTATTTATTATTTGCCTTCAGTGGGGGATGGAGGAGGAGCTTTGGAGGACAGCTCAGGTACCTGTTGCCTCACAGAGGGCACTCCTTCCGCTGTCTTTGGCACCTGTACCCTGCTGAAACTGGCATTGTATCTTCTGCATGGGCACCATGTCAGACCAGCAGATGGGCTGCAGCAGAATCTTGCCAGAAAACAGTTTGTGCATCAAGTTTTAAATATTGGAGGCCTGGGCTCCCATCTGAGAGTGCTGTAAGAGCAGGCCATGCAAAGCTTTTCTGCCTGGGGTTAAAGGATGTGTCATCCCTATTCCAGCTTGAAGTAATTAACTTTGAAAGTCAAACAATTGGCTTCCATTAATGTGGCATACAAAAACTCTGGTGAGTCAGGATTAGGGTTTCACAGAAACACAAGTAAGAAATGTTCTGGAATTGCTTTACCAGTACTGAATGCTCTTAACTTGGAGGTATTTGAAGTTACCTGCAAAACAGTAGAGCAGTTGAACATTATTTTGTCCCAAAATCAGTTTAGTTAGGTCTTGCAGAAGGTGGATCTAGTGGAGGGTTATGTATCTGTAATCTGTATAAAACCTCTCTACACACTTAAAGCTAAAGGAATAAGACTCTTGAATAAAACCTTGTCAAAACCCTGGTCAGCAAAGAGTCTGTCCAGGAAAAGATGCTGCATCTATAAAGTAACAGAGAAGCAGATCTTCCTTAGGCTGCAATGAAAGTGGGGAGTAAACACCCTTCAAACATGGAATGTTTCAGATTTTGGGAAATATTGGATATTGCAGGTCAGGGAGGGGGAGGCAATGTGCTTTGTTTGCCTTGGCACCTTCCCTATGTAGGAAATAGATGAAGTTGTGTTTAATAGCAAATGCTGTTTTTTATTGTGTACAATTTGTTTTTAGTAATTCTATTGCTGCAGCTTGGGTCCTTTTTATCATTAGATGCTCTGAGCAACACTCCCTGCTTTTACCCACTGAATTTAACAGCTCTTGGCCTGACTTGAACAGAGTCAGAACTTCTCCAGCTTTCTTTATAGGTAGCCTGTAACTTCAGAAATGTGATATTTTTGAGATTGGTTTCAATTTCTGCAAAAACTAAGCTGATATATCACTCCTCAGGATTAGCTAATGAATGGGACAAAGCAAAAATAAAATAGTAGCAACTAGAGAACTTCTGAAAATACTTTTATTTGTGTTTCCCAAACAAATCCATCCTCAAAATATCCAACAGTGGCGAAGACACCAGCTGTGGACAGGAGCAGGGCTGTTTCTCCAAACTGCCAAATCAACGCTGTTTTCTTTTCCACTGTGTAAACTTTGTCAACAAAAGTGGTTCTGTGAGAGCCATTGAAAATATTTCACCATATTCCAAATGTGACTGCCACAAATTAACTGCTGAAACTACAACAAGCACGTTTGAACTGGCAGAGGGAATTGGCACGTTCCTCTGTCAGGCTGCAATTGTGCTGTGTGCTCGTAGGAAATGGCAGTTCAGCCACAAACACCCTTTTGTTACCATGGCTGGTTAACATTTAGAGAGTGCCATTCATTAAGGATGTGGCACTCAGCACCGAAAAGGATGAAATTCATGGTTAAGGTGGATGATAAGGCCGTAACTGCTGTGCTGGGTGAAACCAGGGAATCCTGGGCGTGGGTTAATTCCAGGTGAGGTTTATGTGCAGGCACAGCAGTTGGGAATCATGGCTGGGATGTGAATCTTCCTGCCCTGCTGTATTTCAGAGGGCATTTTAAAGCTGTGTGCCCCACTCTGGAGTGCTGGCTGTGACTGGATTGAAGGGGAGGGAGGGAAAGCAGAGCTGTGTCCTTTGCCCTCTGCAAATGTTTTGTGAGACTCCTCTTGGCATGAGGTGAAAGCAGCCCCAGCCTCCGTCACAGCTGCATCCTGCACCAGTGCTCCCAGTCCTGCAGGCAATGGTTTGGGGTGTGTGCCTGCAGCAACACCCCCTCCCCAAGTGTCAGGGGTTGTGCATCTCTGGTTGGCAAAAGCTGGGAACTTGTGCACTTGTTATGCTATTTTAAGGGCTTTTTTTGCAAACATAATCTCACCATATAGTGCTCCTGGTACCCTCTGTGAGTGCTTATCTGCCATCAGGGACCTCCTGCCTATCAGCACTGCTCTCCTGCAGAGTCTCTGCTCACTGTCCTGCAGTCTGCATTTACTGATTGTAATATTATAAATAGCCATGTGCTACCACACAGAACGAGGCTAGCACATGGCTAATTACGAGTGTACAGTAATTAACCATGAGCTAAACTCACAGGAGAGTATGTGGTGCTGGTCTATGAGGTATGTAATCAGACTGTTTGTTAAACCTTGGGAGCCTTTCCAGTCTGTTAAATAACTATACATAGTAATGAGACAATTTTTAAAAAACCATTTATGTTTATTTATGGACAAAAAAATAGTCTGTCTTTTTTCTGAGCTGTGACTGGAGTGTTGCTGGTTGGCATCTGAATGGGTGATTAAAGTGGATTACCAAAAGGTGCCCCCACAACTTGTGCTCACCTGTGTGGGTGAGACTGATTGTCCCTGCATTGTCTGTGTAAGAAGTTTAGTGCTATTTGTGGGGACTGTACTGCCTTGTTCCATGTATGTGCAGTAAAAATATCTTTTCTCCTTTTGTACACTTGAATGGAACTCATTTTGTGGGGCACCTGTTTCAGTATCCTGTTGAGCTATGACTTTTCTCCCTTTTCACTTTGTAACCATTGCTGGTTATGTTTGGGTTTATTTTCCTTCAGGATGTGTGACTTTCAGTGTGACTCCAGAAGCATCCAGGCCAGCACAGTGTAAGAACCACGGGGGTGAAGCCCTTTTGCTGGGCTACCTCCTGTTAATTGCTCCTCTTCATTACCCTGACAGCTGTTACTCTGTTCCAGATTACCATGAACGAGGCCTCTTTTATAAAATGTCAAGAAGTCTTCAGGGAAGTTAGATCAGCCTCTTTCAAATACATTTAAATTTGATACTTGCCTGCACCTATCAAACCTCTGTTAAGTAACTTGGTATTGAATTAAATTCTCTTATCCAGAGGTTCTTTTCTGATCTGTGCCAGTGAAATGAGCACATCAAATTCTGTTTGGGTGATGTGATGCTGTTGAATGCAGTGATAACATTATGGGATGTGCTCCTTTTACTAATGTCTTCTATTAACATATATTCTATATGTGGCAGAGAAAAATGAAAGATATAAATGCTGTGCCTTAATTCCCACTTCAGTGCAAAAATATGGTAAGAGCAAAGTGTACCAAAACTTCCCTTCTAGTAGATTTAATGTGTGTTCTGGCTGTGACTGTTACTTGTGTGAGTCTATGGACAGTTCACACCTTCCAATTCTACTGTTTTAATATTTGAATTTTATTTTAATGTGTTATTAGCACAGCAGCATTCACATGGGGAAGTGTCAGTGGGGAGCCTGTGGGTGTTTGGTGTGTACCCTGCGAGATTCATCCCAGATGCTGAACAGAATTGAAGGAAGATGGCAGCTGAAGGAAGCAGTTCATTGTAGAAGTATTTTTATGCCCTGACCATCAAAAACAGTAAGCTTGGATGGTTTGATTAGATCCAAGTTTACTTGATTTTTATTATGCTGTTAAAAGAGCTCTATTTTTGTGTGTGCTCATGGTTGAAGTGTTTCACACCTGGACTGTTGTTGGCATTTGATCATTATCAGAAGTTTGAAAGGGACACTTATTTCCTAGGAATTGTATTCTTTTTGCCTTTCTTCAGTGATGATTCTAAAAGATGATTTAGTCTCATTAAATTTTAATCCCAGTGTAGCTCTATGTAGCTTCAGTAGTATCAGAGAGAGCTGATAGTTCTCTCAGGGTCAGAAGAAAATAGGATTGCATTGTCTGTGCACAGAGGTTCTGTCTCCTGGGCTGTAATTGGCACATGTGGTCAATTATTGTTTTGAAATCTCTGCTTGCACTCAGAGGCACAATCCCCCAGCTCCCCTTTAGGCAGGTGGTGGCTGTGCTATCCCCAACTTAGGCCAGTGTCTAAATAATGTCAGAATAGAAATCAAGGTTCTAGGGCCAAATTAATTTGTGCTAGAGGAAAGCAGACAATCCTGTCTAGAGGCATAATGTAGGTCAGAACTTTAAAGTGGTGTCTTTGTCACGACAGCAGATTGACAGCAACCCAATACAGTGGTTTTTGAATTGGCTGGAATGGCTTAAACAGGGTCTGTCCTAATGGAATGGCTCATTGTGGTGCCAGTGTGCACTGAGGACATCCTGCTTACTCCTTAATTAACATCCAGGGGACACTTCTGAGAACAGGGCTTCAAATTGCTTCTCTACTTGTTGATTAAAACTTCTCTCTGTGCTGATTTTGTTTTATATTTCTTTGAACTTGGCAGAGCTCTGACCTTTAAAAGCAGGAATTTAGACTATCTTTTGGTGTGTATTTTTGGTTGCCTGACTCAGTGTTAGCACAGTCTTTATTTGCAATTACATTTTGTTGCATACAGCTTGATCTCCATCTCTTTGTTCCTTTGCAGCATCCCCTCAAATTCAGGTTCCTGTAGAAGATGATGCAGTGCATGTCATTAAAGTGGTAACGTGCAGATCTCATTTCTAAATTATTAACTTGCATGCAGTTCTTTCTCTTAATTATCCACCCTTATTTTCAGCATTTGGTCTTTATTGCATGCTTGTTGCTTTTGGTGCTCTGGGTTTTTTATATCCTTTGCCTGCTTGGGGATATATTTGGCATTTCCATGATACACAGTATTTCCTTGACTTGATTTTTTTTCCTTGATTACAACCCCTCAACAGTTTAGTAAGGAATATTAGACTATGATCTCAAACACACCTGATCTCAAATATTTCTGAAAATAGTGTCTTAAATAATATCTAAAAGAATCTGTGTTGTTTATGAAAATGCATTGCTAAGCAACTTTTCTTTTTAGCTGCTTAAATTAAATTTCAGGTGGCATGGAATCTGGGAGATGGGAGATAAAAGGGGTTTCATTCTCTTGCTATTTCCTTTATGCTTCTCTTAAGAAACTGTTGTCTTTCTAAGGCCTTTTATGACACCAACTTTATTTGTTTCTCAACAGGAATATCTTGAAAATGGCCCCTTGTTTTCTGAGCTGAAGTTTTACCAGAGGGCAGCAAAACAAGAGCATAGTAAGTGATGTCTCAGGTAGAGGTAAGGACAAGTCTGGGTTTAACTGCTTTTGTTAAGAACTGTTGCTTTAGAGCTTGAAAGCCTGAACCAGTGGCAGCTGGTGCTGTGGTAGCTCTGGATTGCTGTAGTTTTGTTATTTGGGTCTTGGCCTTGTCCTTTGTGGCCAGAGGAGAGAACAGAAGCCAAGCAGCCAGAACTGGGCCACATTTATTGTCTGTACACCAAGGCATGGACTCCAGAGACAGGACAGAGAAAACACCCCACACCTGGAGCTCTCAGCTGCCTTTAACTCAATGCTATGTTCTTCTTGTTATTGCAGTAAGAAAATGGATGAATCTCAAAAAAATAAGATGTTTAGGAATTCCAGTGTTTTGGGGATCAGGCCTGGCTGAGTACAAGGGGAAAAGGTAATGAGCTAAATGGTAATTAAGCCTCAGATTGGCTGATGACCCATTTTCAAAAATGGAGATTTAGTCCTTTCAATCTAACTCAAACTTGCAGTCATGTCTTAAAGGATTCCTCCCTTTTCTGTGTTTCCTCATAGCTACAGGTTCATGGTCATGGAGAGACTGGGGCAAGACCTCCAAAGAATCTTTGAAGATTGTGGCAGCAGGTTTAAGAAGGAGATTGTTCTGCAGCTTGGGGCACGGATGGTAGGCACAGAGAGAGGAAATTGCTGTGTTCAAATTTGCTGAGTTCAACTAGAGAATTGTCTTGCTCATACAGCTCCTTTAGGTGGCTGCTGAGTTTAGAATTAAATGTGTAAATGCTGTGTATTTTCTTATTTCTCTGGGGTTTTTAGGGAAAAAGGTATTTAGTGGAAAATCAAGACTCCCCTACAGACTGAAATTTGGTCAAACCAATTTTTTTTTCTAATGGATTAAAACACAGACCATCCACTTCAACCTGTGTGTCTAGACTGAGATGTGTAAGCCTATTCTCATGTTTCAGCATGTATTGATTTTTTTTTCAGTGTCTGAAGGGTATTGTATTAGACATCCATATTTGTCAAAGTTCACAATTGCATGCCTGAATGCCAAATTTTCAGTGTGTTTGCTGAACACGCTGATCATACAGGCCAGGATTTGGCCAGTCTGCAAATACCAGTTTTGTTCTCAAATGGGTGTCACTGGCACATCCCAACAGAAGGTTACATATGTGACAGAAAGTTACATAAGTGCTCCTTTGTAACCTGATTTGTTTTGTGAAATACTGTGAAATACTGCTGTTGCTGAGCAGAGGTGGATAGAAAATGGTGTAGAGGCAATGGTCTCAAGTTAGAGAAGAGGAACTCTCAGACTGGATGCATCCAAAGCATCTCTTTAACCTAAATAGAATATTTTTTTTAAAAATTGAAGGGCTTTCATAGTCACATAATTGATAAACTTGTAATACTCCAAAAGTCATGATTGTCCTTTGGATGAGTTGCCAAGTGTAAATGTATTTTTTAATAATTAGAGGAGCTGGAGGTGTTGATGCAGGGGGCTGTGACATGAGATGCTGGTCATGTCATAGCTGGCAGGATCAAATGTATGCCAGACCTTTAGAGCTGATGGAATGTGATCTTTGCAAGAGTTTGGTGTTCTCAGCATCTCCTCTGGTGTTTGTAAAGTACTGGGTTCATTCTGGCTCTGTGATTTAGGAGCTGGTACTCAGGGAGTTCCACAGGGATATCTCAAGCAAAGTGTGGCTTCTTTCTGCTTTGCCATCATCAGTCCCAGCCAATGGCTCCCCTGTCTAAGTGAGAAATATTTGAGGGCAGAGTGGAGAAGATGATGATGATGATGATGTTCTCTCCTCTGTTCTGAACTCTTTCCTAGTTGGATACTTTGGAGTACATACATGAAAATGAGTATGTCCATGGGGACATTAAAGCAGCAAATCTTCTGCTGGGCTACAGCAATCCACACGAGGTGAGCATGTTTACTTATCTGCACCTTTACTGTGTTTATAACCATTGAAAAGTTTTAAGTTTTGCAAATGTTTTGCTTTCCCAATTCACATATTAAAAGGAGTTTGTGCATGAACATTCACATCCCCTCAGAGCAGATCTGAGTGGCTCTGTGGAGCTTGAGGGCTGAGCAAGAAGCAGGACAAAGCTGGGCTTTGTTCCCTCTGTGTTCTGCTGACTGGGACACTGCTATGGATGAGTAAACTAATGAAGAGGATAAATTGTGGGACCTAATTGCTGCTCTAGGTTATACCAGTAAAGGATTGGATGTGGCCCATTGTACTTTCATTCTGGGAAGTTCTAGATTTCTAATATTGCCATGAATTGTTTCCATGCCCTAACTCTCCTGTCCTGCTCACTGTAGTGGATAGAACAGGTAAGTAGGATTAAAGTTGTTGTTCTCTAGCACTCTGAAGTCAGCCTTGAAATGGAAGTGTTTGGGTGAAATGTTTTAAAACAAATCTTTTTGTCCTGTCGTGTTCCACATGCTCTTCTGATGTCTTTATTTTCTTCAGGTAATAAAATCTAAGTATGTTTTTTTAATTGGAAAAAAAATCATTTAGGAAAAAAGGACATCTCCAACTTCACTTAAATATAATTAGCTGTAAGCAATACTTCTTTCAATTTTGGTTTCTCTGCTGCTGTGATAAAGAACCACATCTTGCAAAGCAGCTCACTGCCATTGGTGGTGAACCATTTGAGTATATCTGCTCTTTTTAAAAGCTTCAACTTAAATGGCTGAGTCAAATTTAACTTGTCAGCTTTCTGAAAGACATCATTTGAAACACAGCTTAGCTGTTTAAGACAACCCTGGTTTATACAGTGGCAGCAGCCAGTGCATAATCACAGTTTATGGTGTTCTGCTGAATCCAGAGGAGGAGACTGGATCTGCAGCCATTAACATAACTCAAATGACTTTTCTTTTGTCTTGGCTATTGTATATTTTTATGACAGCAAGAAATGCTGCTGTTTTTCAAATTGCAATCACTTTGGAAGTGTCCACTCCCAGTAATCACAAAATGTTAAGACTTGGAGCTGACTTGGAACTGGGCAGGTTGCTGGGTGGTTTTCTGATTTGTTTCATGTGTTATTTGTATGAAGATTCTGCTGCACTTGTAATTTGTTTAATGATAATAAATTCATTGACAGGTTAAAAATAAGGTATTTGTGAGTTACTGGACAGAGGTTTTAGTGGTTATTTCCTAGGGTTTATTAAATAAAAGAAATCAGTAGATGCTTCAGTTTGAGTAGCTCCTAACTCAACATGTACAAAGTGTACTTCACTGCTGGGAGGTTTGCTGTAGAATTTTGTTTCACCAAAATTTCTCTTCCATTGAAATTATTCTATAAAACTTTTTAAAAAGTTCCCATTCTAGTTCAGAAGTGCTAATGGGGAGAATTTCTAATATTTGCTTGCATTTCTATGGTATGAATTAAATTTTCATTCCTGTATGTGTGAAGTGTTTGTGCCACCTTTCTCGCTCTGCCAACCCAGTGAATAACTCAATTGCCTTGGTCTTGGTTGATTTTTTTTTTTAATGTAAAATGATCAACCTAATCTCATAAATAGGGAGTGAGAGCATCTAGCCTGTGGCAAACCCCAGCTCAGGAGTACAAGCCCAGGGGCTTCTCGGCTCCAGTGGGAGTTGGCATAATAAAAGTGCCTGACCCAACGATTTCTGTTATGAGGTTTTGCAAAATTTTAATGCCAGTGGGTTCTTTCTCTTTAGGGTCTAGGATTTTAAGAGAAAATATATTGTAAGTGTAGTGTGTTGTAAGTATAGAATTAAAGAAATTTGTTTTTAAAAGAAACCAAGAACTCATCTCTTAAAAATAATATTAATCTCTATTCAAAATATAATTCCATATTCTGTTTTGGTAAAGAGAGATAAATCTCTGTTCAAAAAAGCAGGTGTACCTTTGTACTAAACTTTGTATTTTTTTTGCAGCTGCAGAAAGTCAGTGACAAATTTACATCTAGGAACACACATCAGCAGTCACTAAATGACAGAAAAAAAATGCAATTTTCCTGTGTTAGACTTCCTGCTGCTGGTCTCTCTCTTTCTCTTCTGTAAATTAACCTGGTGAATTTACACCATGTATGGTCCTAACTGTATGATAAAGCAGAACAAGCAGCATTGATGGACTCTGAAAGAAATTTAAATCCACTCATCTCATTTAAATGGTGATGCTGTTAAGAGGGGCAAGTAGTCACCAGATAAGAGCTTAAAATCTGCATTTTAAATAAATGAGGTTTGGGAGAGCACCTCTTGCAATTATCTTGTAGCATTTTTCCCCATGGATTTTATGGGCAGACATGTTGCAGACTCAAGTTTGGGTTTAAAAGCTGGGAATTTTAATTGTATGTGCACCTCAGTCCTGATTTTAAATGTTTCTTAGACCAAGTCAGTTACATTCTAGAACTCTGACTTGATTATCGGAGATAGAGAAATACAAAATTGTTTCAGAAGATACAGAAATCATGCATTGATCTTTTGGGAAAAAGTTGCATGAAAGCAATTCTGACTTCAAGCTGTTTTTCATTGTGAGGTGAAACATCACAATTCCTGCTTTTTAGCCCACTGGGACAGACTTGCTGAAGTGCAGGTGAATTGAGAAAAAGTCAGATCTTCTCTGTTCTCCTTCAGGGCAGAGATGCCCTGTGCCCCTTCCCCTCTCTGTGCTGGTAACCACCATGGGCCTCAGTCTGCCTTTACCCTTTTGTAGCCCAGTGAACCTGGCAGCACTCTGGCCATTAGCAACCAATCTGCCTCTTATTAGCAGGTATCTACTTAATTATTTACAGGCATGATGTCACCTAGGAATGGAAACAGAGAAAATCACTGTACTTCATCCTTCCAGCTGTAAATCTCCTGCTCTGTCCTTCAAGATAAAGGGAATACCACGAGAATCCAGAGGGCCAGGCTCATAACTGCCCAGCTCAGTGCCATGAAATATCATCATGGGTCCAGGCTGTAAGAATTGTGTGTTTAGCAGATATTTAGCACTTCAGACACCAAGCACTGTGAGGGAGTTGTGCACAGAAAGGGCAGGGAATGGCTGAAACTGTGGCTGGCTGCTTGTGCTCACAAATAATTATTTGTGCCTGTGATGGTTCACTTGACCAAGAGCACATTTATGTGTGCATGAAATTAAAGGTGAAGACTTTAGAAATCTGGCGCATGGTTGGGAACAAAAATCTATTAATAACAGACCATGCTGAGTGCTGCAGAGCCTGGTGCAGACAGGGCTACTATGTAAAGAAGAGAAACCTGAACAAAACCAGGAGTTAAAATAAGTGAGTGGGAAGGAGTGTACACTGTGCCACAGCTAAACCCAGCTGTTCTGGGCTTTTCCCTGCTACACTTTCATAATCCACAGCATCTTTTCTTATTCCAGTGTCCTGTTTGTCTTGGTTGCTCTGCTCTGTTTGGTTCTTTTTTTGGTTTTTCGCCAAAAAAAGCATGCAGATAAAAAATATTTATGGTATTGAAACACATACTAAAACTGCCTTAATTTTTGCCAGTATTCTCTAACACTCACCTGCTTTTCCCCTTTCCCACACCCTTAAAAAATCCACAACAACTATAAACTCTAAATGAGCTACCTCTACCATGTTCTGAGCAAATTTGGAAGGGCATGCAGTATTACATTATCAAAAAGTGACAACTAGCTATAAAGAACTATATATCTTTTTAATGATGAAAGGGTTATAATGAGAATTGATGAAATGAAATTAATGGTAATTTAAAATAACACAGTCATTCTGATAATGGTTGTGGCAAGGTTGTGACAGTGCCTTGCTGGTTTTGTACAAGCTGAAGGGGATTGATTTTTGTTGGTGGCCAAGAGGCTTTGCCTTGAGAGGCTGCCATATTTGTGGACAAAATCTGATGTGAAAATTATGGAAGTGATAAATGGCCCAGCTAGAAAGAAGCTGACCTGGTACACTCATGGCCAACTTTTGAGGAGAACTGCTGTCAGGATCACCCTGCAGGTCAGTGCCTTTAGGAAGCAGTTGCTTCTTTGTTTCCAGGTCTTTCCATCTTCAGTCAGTGCAGGATAACTTAAAGTTCCTTCTCACTTCTAGGGGGTTTTCAGTATAAATTGAAAACTGCTCTGCTGATATGGCTATATTTTATGCAAATCCATTGGTTAAAAATGTGCTGCATTATGGAGCTGCCTTAAAAATAAAAATTACAAAGTGACTGTGATAGGATAAGTGGTGGGGGGGTTAAGTTTGACTAGCAAATATTTGTGGCTGCTTTCTGGGTGGCCTGGTGTTGGTATAGTTTGAAAGATCACCAAGGCTGGGCTGTCACATGGGAGTCTCTGTCACATAAGCTGGCATGCCCAGCCCAAACCAGAGAGCTGCCACAGGTGCTGTGGGTGTATTTTCTTTCCTAACAGTTGAAATCTTATTTTAATGTAGGCATAGCCTTAATTTTAAAGGTATTTGATCTTCCTGTCTATGTCAGAAACCTGTAGTCAAGCAGAACACAAAGCACAGCACTGAGTCTGGAAGAATGCACCTCGTAGGCTCCTCTCTCCTTCCCAGCCCACAAAGGAGGCAGCAGGCTCACAGAACTTGGTTTTTAGGGTAATTTGAGTGAGTTCTCTGGCTGTGGGCTCAGTTAGGGCAGACCAGAGCATCGGGAATCCACCAGAGAACGGATGCAGGAGAAAATCAAATCAGTCAGCCTGACCAATCTGATGCCCTGTCCCAGATTTTGTAGCCATCCACGCCTCTGGTCTTTGATCTTGTATCCCAGTTTGGCTGGGCTGTCAGGTGAGAAACATCATCAATAATCTTAAAAGCCACCCCCCTGCAGGAAGTGAGGGCTGCAGCCCGGCTTACACGCTCCAGATAAGCTCAGATCCTGCAGCAGAAACAGTAAAACCAAGAGACCAGCAATCCCAGGATTTGAGGCTGCCTGCAGCACAAACAGGAATCAGAAGTTTAACAGAATGTGCTACAAAGTAATGTGTTACATTTTCTTGAGGCTTTTTTGTTTGTTTGTTTTTGCCTTTACCAGGACTGACATAATTAAATAGCAAGTGAGTGCCAGGAAAGTTTGTTTTAGACTTTTTTAGGATAAACTGTTTTGTAGCTAAAGAGGAAACTAAACTAACGTTCAAATAAGATGTTTTTCTTTATCATATAATAAGATTTAGTTGCAGTGATATCTATGCCTTCAGATGATTTTCAGCTTTTGCCCCAAAAGTCCATGGATGGAATGCTGATTGTGGCACTATTGCAGTATACACAATTTGGGCCAAATGTTTTTCTCTTACATTGATTTAACCCCATGTATTTGCTTCAGAGTAACTGAGAGACCACACTTTGGTTCTGTGACTTTTTAAAATGCTTTCTAAATTCAAGAGTGGATCACTGAATTGGGGAGGGCTGGTTTGCTTTGTTTCAGCCTACTTTGAATAGTTGATGTAGGAAGTTAGTGCCAGTGGCATTCCAAAGGGCTGGGTTACAGGTGGGTGAGTCCCCAGGAGCCCCATGTCCAGTCCAGCTGGGGAAGCTGCTGCCCCTTCCTCTGGCCTTGAAGGTGCACAGAAGAGTTGATTTGGAGGAGTCTCAGCTGCTGGAAAACCCAAATGGGGAAGGGAGGGAGTGTTCCTGCTGAAGTGAGGGGAGGAAGGGGTCCCATAAGCAACGTGAGGCTGCATGAAAGGCATATTGCAGTTTATGATGTCTGGATGCCCACCTGGAGAGCAGAGAGCTCAGGAACAAAATGAAATGACTGAAATCCTGCTCGACTCTGAAATAAGATAAGAGTATAGTAGTGGAAGGATTTAAATGGGGAGGGCAGCTGTTATAGCCCCCAGTTGTACATATTTTATCCTGAGGCACCATTTGGTTTAATAAAATTTAGATCTAAGGCTGTCCTTAACCTATCAGTTTCTTAAGACTTAATTATAAAGGTTATACTTTCAAAGGACAAAAGCATTATTCATTTGTCTGTTCATGTCTTCCAGGTTTATCTTGCAGATTATGGACTTTGCTACAGATATTGTCCCAATGGGAACCACAAACAGTATCAGGAAAATCCTAGGAAGGGCCATAATGGGACAATAGAGTTTACCAGCATAGATGCCCACAAGGGAGTAGGTAGGTTTCTTTTTTTTATTTCAGATGAGTGATTACAGAATGAGTAATCAGGCTGTGAGTGCTGCTGCACACAGGAGAAGCAGCGCTGGGGATTGCTCAGCCCCTGGTGTGGTGACCTCCTCGTGTGCCTGGGAATGCTTCCCCAGGGCTGGGGAAGGGCAGCAGGAGCAGCTCTGCACACACAGCCCAGGACAGCCCTGAGAAGAGCTCAGCATCAAACTTGACTGGTTTGTGTTGGGAGAACTGGTTTGTGCTCACTGTGCCCTGCAGAGGCAGCACTTGCTAATGCTGCATTGTCAAGGAAAAGGGTTTGGAGCCTGCACTGTCCTTTAGGGAGAGCTGTGGCTGAGTGTCACCATCTGTGTTCTGCGAGGGTATTTCAAGATGACATTCCTTCTGCAAGGAGAAAAACCTTTTCTGAAGCCATAAAGTGTTAACTTTTTGAAATCTTTTTCCAGTAGCCTTTCATATATCTTACTTATTTAAACTCACTTTGATGGTATTGGAAACACATTTGCAGGTAAATTACATACATAGTCCTTTTATTGGATATTGATTGTACTGCCTTGCATTCCAAGGCAGACTTAATTCAACAATTCCCTAATTAGTTAAAGTCATAACCTATGTCTTGTATTCATTTACCATTAATTAAACCTTAGCTGTTTATTACGCTGCAGTCCAAATCCAATAGCAGACCCATAGAGCCATGGAAAAGGGACTGGGAGGTCAATATTGAAAATATATGGTGTAAAGTCCCACTGATGGCTGCATTGTTCACAATCAATATGGTCAATGCAACACAACTTTCTTAGTTGCTATGTCAGCAAGACAAAAAGTCAATTCTAATGTTATGCTAGTGAAAAAAATGGTGATTATTGAAAAACTTTGACTCTTGCTGCAAAAGAGTGTTTTTGTTAACTTTTCTTTCCCCTTTCCCCTCCTTCACCCCCAAGATCAGCTCAAGCAGGAGGGATGGTTTGCTGCTGCCAGCTTGGTGAGCATCAGTGTCACCAGTGATAACTGCAGGAATTTGTGCTTGTTAATAGCTGCTGAACTGTTACCTTAAACTAATACTTTCTAACGAGTTTTAGTTGGCACAAACAACTGTATATTATTGCTTTTTCTATTAAAAGGACCATTGACCATGTAATGTAGAGGGTCTTGATAATTTGCTGGAGCTGTTAAAACCTGCAGTCGTTTAACTCTGGTCATTAGGAAAAATGAAATAAGACTGGCAAGTATTTCCTGCTAAGACAACTGCACCATTTCACCTGCTAGAAAATATTTTGTGAGGAGAGCATCTGTTTTGGACTCTTGTGGCCCTCCCAAGCTTGCAGGCTGCTTTCTGGAGAGCTGACTCTGCCTGCTTTGCCTGGTAGAGTGAGTGGTGTGGCTGTGCATTGGTATTTGATGTGGATGCTCTTTGAAGGGTAGGTGGAAGCTGGATTATTTGGCAGTTGGACAGTTACAGCAGCCAGTTTGGTAGTGTTTGTGGATGGGTATGTGATTACAGGACAGAGAATTCCTTCTGTTTGAAAGTGCAGGGAAATGTTACAGACCCGTGTGACAAAAGGTGTGCAGAGGAAGCCTGAGGTAAGTTTTGCAATCTGTGTCTTGGATAACCTCCTCAAAGAGCTAAAGTTGTGATGGAATTGGTTAAAACCAGAGGACTCCACAAAACAAAATGTTCAGAAAGATAGTTTGAGGGAGCTTACCCCCCTCTTACACTTGAAAAGTGTTTCCTTTAGCTGCAAACAGAAAATCCACTGATTTTTTTTTTTTTGTGCTCCTGCCAGAAGAGACTGCAGAACATGGCGTGGGATCTGTTATGTTACAGAGCATGCAAACTCTTCACATGGAATGCCAGCTCTGACCTTGTGATGGTGTCCTGCTTTTGTGTGGGACAGAGTTCATTCCATGGCAGCAGCTGGAGCAGAGCTGTGGTTGGGTTCAGGGTGACAGTGGCACTGACAGCACAGGGGTGCTGGAGGTGGTGCTGGGCAGGGCTTCCCTTCAGGCAGGGACTGGTGAGTTCCCCGTGCCCTGGCACTGAGGAGCTGCCCAGGGAGCTGGGAGGGACCTGGCCAGAGGGATGTTCCATACTGGGATAATGGGCAGGGATAAACTGGGGGGTGGCCAGGAGGGGCCACTCACTGCTCAGGTGCTGCTGAACAATTCTGTTGTGCATCACTTCTCTGTCAGGGGGTTTGTTCCTTTCTTTACCTTCATTTTCATTATTATTATTTTTAAAATTTTAGTTCAAGTATTAAGCTGTTGTTATCTCAACCCATGGATTTTAACTTTTTTTCCCTGATTCTCCTTCCTGTCCCTCCAGGGAGGGGGAGGGTGTGAATGTGTGGTACTTTAATTGGTGGCTGGGGTTAAACCACGACAAACAGCCTGAATCCAGGAAGATCAAACTGCCAGAGTTTCCCCAGTTGCAGCAGAGCTCTCCATCCCAGGAAAATCTGCATCTGCAGAGACTTCTGTTGGAGATTGCAGGGGCTCAGCTGGCACAACACAGCAATGGGTTCCCTGCTCTCCTGGTGTGAGGCTGAGGCACAGAGATGGCTTAGGATGCTGAAAGACTTCCAGCAGCTGGGGCAAAGGGTTTCTTTGCTCAGCAATCTCCTGGATTCCCTGCTCAGGGTGCAGTCTCAGCACAGTCTCCTGTACAAAGTGAGGTGGAGTGTTCTGAAAAGTCTTTAAAGACTGTGGGCAAATGGAAGGTGCAGAGACAGCCTTCATTCTGGTGTCACCCAGCTTTTCAGAGTGGAGGGCTTTGTTATTTCAACATTTCAGAAACATAATTCTCATTTTTAAATGTTATTTTATAGAAATGAGATCCTTTCCAGAGGGCATTTCCTGCATGTGTGTAGCAACATAAGTATCTCAGCCCCCCTGAGCAGCATTAGTGGCTGTGCTGAGCCAGACAAATGAGAACATTTTGACTTGTTCATGAAGCAGCTACTGAATACATGCAGTGATTTGAGGGACACGCTGAAGCTTTAACAAAATTAGGAATTTGAAGTTTTGATTCAATAGTTCCTCTTGGCAATGCTTGGAGCTGATGCCCTCCTTGCACAGAGCCAGCCAAATGCATTCCCTTCCCAGTAATTTAGGTCAGTGCTGGAGTTTCTGTGGTTGAATGGAGATTGAATGGGAGGTTATTGCCCAGGATCTCCATGGAGCTCACCAGGAGCAGAGTGTGCAGTGCACTGAGATGCAGGAAGGTTCCTACCAGTGGCCACTGCAGGGAAGCACTTTGGGGTGCTGGCATTGGTCTGTGTTCTCCTGACAGCTCTGGAAAGGCCAGCTGGGATGGATGTGCTGCTCCTGTGGAGCTGCATCCTTGAGCTGTGTGTGGAGTTCTGGAACCAAGTAAGGCCCAGCCTGGCCTCTGCACAGGATCCCACCTGCAGGATCCCATCCCAGCCAGGGTGTGGGTAATTGAAATTAAAACCCTTTTTATTCTGATGCAGATTTCTCATGGCACAACTGCATCGTTGGTTTTAGTGTCTCATTGGAGTGTACTCACTGTATTCATTTTTAAAGACCAGCCTGTATAAACAGTATTGCATTTTGGTTTGTTGATTGATAATTAAGGAGAATTATATCTGTACTCAGTGTACATTTAAAAAGTTGTTACATAGTTAGTTAGTGTTAAAAAGTAATATTTGGATCAATGGCTCCTATGGATTTTTGTAGATTTTCTCCTCACTGAGGCATGCAGTCAATACCTAATTTCTCTGGAGATTTACTGCACTTAACATATTGAGGTTCTTTTAAATACTCCAGTCCTGTGCATTGAGTGTGTAAGCCCAGTTTTAATTTGCTATCATTGATGAACATAAGAGTATGAAGTATCTATGCTGAATTCCCTCCAGCATATATTTGTGTTTGCCATCGATTCCAAGCTGAGTCCTCTCCCTTCTTCCAGCATTTCCCAGGAACTCTGAGTGGGGTTGCCATCTCTTGCATCAGTAGAGACCCCACTGCAGTGTGTGCAGGACTGATCTCCACCTCTGCAGCAGTAAAAGCTGCTTCCCACAGGAGTGGGGACTTTGGGCTGCTCTGTGCCCCTCACGGGGTTTATGAGCTCCGTGAGCTCCATCAGACACCGGCTTTGTCCAGGGCAGTGCTAGCCCTGGGCTGCTGGCAGGGAAAGCCCTGCAGCCCCTGTGCTGGATTTCCCCACTGCTCAGGCAGAGCTGTTCAGTGGTATTAAAACCACAGCTCAGTGCTTGGCCATTTTTCCTGTTCTGCTGACTAAAATATGTGCAGGGTTCATTTTGTGAGGAAGGATGTGCAGGAATATAAACACCTATGCCTGGAAACACATTCTTTGGGAGCCTGCTTCCAGAGAACAGAGCTCTGAGTGCCTCTGGATCAAGAGGTTGATTTGGCATCTGTCCATGCATAGTTAGGATTCAGAGGGAGCCTGCAGGAGTTTTTTCTTTTTTTTTGTCGGTCAAATGAATTATTGATCTGCTGCAGTTTGATATGTGCTTCCCAAAGACTGTGTACAGGACAAACTGTAAATCCTAAATAATAAAAGGAAAATATAACCAGTCTGGCAAAAAATGGGTGGAACTTTGCAGTGGGAAATAAATAAAAAGATGGTTTAGTTCTTGAGAGTTGGGATTAGAAATGTGTGCCCAGCAGAGGAAGGAGCAGGAGGTGGTTTTAAGTGAAAGAAGAGTCACTAGCAAGGAAAAGATTGGATGGGCTTCTACAGCCACCTCTGGAAGCTGCCAGGAATGTTCAGAAGCAGCAAAAATAGGAAGAGAAGCATTTACAACTCTGTCACTTCTGAGGACCGTGCCTGGGGAAGGGCTGTTGTTCTCTACACCAGGAATTCAGACAGGTAGTGAATCTCAGCTGCTTGCCCACCCCCACTTGTCAGGCCCTTACCTTTGTGATTCTTTTTTCTGCCACACAGATGTGAAAGAAGAGTTAAACTTCTGCCACATGTCCTTACTGCAAGCCTGGAACCTTTTGCTCCCGACCAGGTACCAGCATCTGCTGCCACCACTGTTGTACCTGCGACCAGATCTCATGGTGACATTGCCTTGCACCTCCAGCCTTCCCACTCCATGAGCTTCTCCCATCAGAGCAGAGCCCCAACCCTCTTTCTTTCAGCACATCCCATTCCACCAGTCCTGGTTCCCTCCTGGCAGCTCTGCTGTGTGTTCCATGTCCATTCATCCCATCAAGTGTGTGTCTGTAGGGTCCCAGTTTGGGACAGAGTGTGTCCCAGGCTGGCACAGGAGCTGTCCCTCTCTGCCATGGCACAGGCTGGCTTCTCTGGAAGCTGTGCTGGTGCCATGGGTTTTTCTTCCCAGCAATCCATGGTGGTGGTAATTGTCAGGGAGTCCTTGAGCACTGTGCCAATTTGAGGAGAGCAGAGGTGGTTCCTGGCTGGCTTTTGCCCTGTCTGAGGCTGGATAACTCTGTGGAATGGCCTCCAAGCACTAAAATGTATCATTAATTTAATGTATTTCTCTAAGCTCTTCTGTGGAGCCACCACTATTCCATTGGTCATCATTCTGCTGCAGGAGCTCCTCAGACTAGCCAGGACCTGGGGAAGCAATACTTCCTTATCTGCCTTTGGGGTTTTCTGGGTCTTCTCATTTCTCCTACTCCTAATAGTGGCACTGATTTCTGTCAAGTCTTGTATTTGTTTAGCTTTTAATCATCTCAGCCTTGGGTTAAGTTCTATCACTTTGTGATTATACATTTTTATCATAATTGCTTTTTACCATGATTAACCCTCCTTTCCTTTGAGGGCTTTTGCATTGCTGGCTGTGGTGTGAGTTACCATAAATTGGTGCCCTGTAATGCCAGTGAGAATTGAAGGTGCCACTGCCCATCCTTGCAATATGAGCAACCAAAATGATCCAAATTATTTTCACGTTTATGAAAAGCTTCCAATCCAAGCAATCACTAATAGTGAAATGATCACATAACAGTGCTAATTAAAAATAAGAGAATATTTCATATGTCACTTGTTAAATCTTTACAAAAGGCTGGAGAAAATCAGCTAAACAGAGGCCATAGAGAAACCTCCCATTTTTACTTCTGTTTCAGAGGAGTTCCTGGGAGCAGTGGAGTTTTGGGAGCACATTGTGGCTGTTGTGATATCCCTGATCTATTTGGAAATAATAATCTGAATATAAATTAGAGTGGAGATAGCTGCCAAATTCAGTGTACAGAGATACCTCATCTATTTTCTTCTAAGGTGAATTGCTTCAGTTATTCTGAGTTATTGGAGCCTGTGCCTGTGTGTTGAGTATGTTTGTGGTATGTTTAAAACTCTGATTTCATTGATGTGGTTGTGAGTTCATCAACTTCAGTGGAGTTGTTCCTGATTTATCTTGACAGGACTGAGAGCAGAATCAGGCCTTAAATCTCCAAATTAAAAAATTAAACTTTAAAGACATTGTGAAATAAAATACCACCAATATGTTCCCATTAAATACTATTTCACATGAGACTAAAATAATAGTAAAAAGCTCCTGTGAGTAGAAAAGCAGAAATCAAACATCTATTAAAAAAAAGAAGAAGAAAAGGCAAGTTTTTTTAGCAAAGAAGTAAGAATTTGATTTAAATAAGTACTGGTTGGAGTGTACTCTCTTGTAACTGTGACAAGTTATCAAGCAGAATTGTTTTATTTTCACCTGGCTGTCATATTTAAAGTGAAGGCAGATTGATTTCTCTCCGTTGATGTTTATCAAGAATTCCTGTAATCTTCATTGTGTGAGCAGATTTATTTTTGCAAGTAAACATATCATTGAAATTTATCTGTTAGTGCTGGATTTGACATGAAAATCTAATAATTCCATTGTCCATAGATAATAGTAACTCGTTAAAGATTAATCAATTACTTTTTAACAAGAATCTAAACGATTTAAAAGCTTGAGGGATTTCGCTTATATGGAGCAGAGGGAAATAAGCAAGTACAGGCAAAGAATCAAATGCTGACATTTCCAAGTGGTTCTACAGAACCTCCAGGTAAATGTGTGAATTTAGCAGCCCTTGTGGTGGCCTGGGAGGTGGAGGGATGGGGACTGACTTGCTGGCTCCTGTGGGACATTTCCTTCTGCTGCTGGGCAGAGCTGCTTCGGCTCCACGGACCTTTCTGTGTCCCTGTGCTTGCTGTGGCTCTGGGCAGGTGTCAGCCGAGGCTTCTGCTTTGTCCCAGGAGCTGCAGGTGAGAGGGAACATCGTTAGTCACAGCCAAACTGTGAAGAAACTTTAATCTCTGGGATTGTTTTGTCACAAAATTGTGGAGAGCCTGGTTCAAGCATGGCTTGAAGAAAGAGGCCATGAAAGGATTCAGCTAAAGGAAAAAAGCAGCCTTTCCCAGGCTTGATTCTGTAAATAATTAAGGTTCTCAGCCACCTTTCATATAAACAACAAGATTCTCAGACCGTTCTGTCCTTGGCTACTACTGGGAACAGACGGCCGGTCTGGGAACAGATATGAAGGTTTTGAGAACCTTTCATATCAGGGTGGGAACACTGATCTTGGTTTCAGTAAACTAACTTCAGGTATTGTAAACAAAAGGAGGAGCTGAAGTTTTCTCTACAGCCTATCAGGAGCTCAGATTTTGCAATATGCATGAAGTGAATTAACACTGTTATAAAAAGTGCCTGATTGATGAATAAAGTGGAGTCAGATGCTGATCAAGAAAGGTAGGTCTCTGCCTCCATCTTCAATAGAAAATGACTTTTCTTATGGTAACTTCTGAAATCTGATTGGTTTGCTGTTATTTCTAGATGCACATCAATGAATCCCCCCCATGGAAAAAAGCTGTTCATTGGAATTCTGACAATTTTCCTCAAAAGGCCACTTTCTGTAGCCTCTCTCACCCAAACAGGTGCCAGAAAGGCATTGTGAAACTTAGAGGATCTGCAGTCAAAAATGCTGGCTTATATGGATCGAATCTGGAATTGCCATAATGGAAAAAAGAGTTGTGAACACGTGTGTGTGAATGGAATTGTTCCACAGTTACTGGGAGATTTATGGCCAGAGAAATCACTACAGAGCAGCAAGTGGTAGAGATTGTGTTTTGATTTTAATATGGGAGCCAAGTCTTGCATTAGGACGTTGCTGAATCCAGGGCAGGAAATAAACGACGCCCGAGGGACAGAGAGCGGTGTCGGATCCAGGGCCTTTCATAATCCCCAGCCTAAAAGCAGTTAAGATAGGGAATGTATAAAAACTAATCTGCTGCTTTTACAGTAATGTGTGTACAGCAGCGAGGGACAGTTATGATGTGTTGGCACCGTGGCTTTTAGCAGATGACTTCTTAAATTAAAAGATAAGTTCACCGAGTGGCTTTCTGGAATTTATTTAATGAAGGCTCATAAAATATGATATCTGTTTACAGCTGGATTAACAGCACAGTGCTCAGCTACTGGTCTTTACGCTGGATAAAAAGTGCCAAACAAGTCTGAACTCTCCTTTCCTTCTTGGAAAGCACAAATTCATTTTGGAAAAGCATAAATTTAACTTCTACATCTGTCTGTCTTTAATCACGACAAGCAGTTTCTGGTGTTGTAGATTCCATGTGGTTTTGACGTGCAAACTGTAGGCTGCAAGTCAAAGAAATCCTGCATTGCTCCTGCTTGTTCAGTTTTAGCAAGTTTGGTTTCCTCTGGGTAGCAGCAAGCACTAGCAATTCTGTTGATATTGCAGTTTTCCCCTCCCTCTTTCTCTAGAAAGATTAAACTTCAGTTTATCTATGTAGGTGATGCTCCGAGACAGGGTTAATTTTTGTTTTAATCTTGTCTCCTGTATTTGTGTGTGCCTGGGGTGTGCAGAGAGTAAGTTGTTCCTGAAATAAGTTCCTTTTTGGAAGGAAGGAAGTGGGAAGTTCAGGCAGGACCTTGCTGAGCAGCGAGTGCACTTTGGGCTGTGCAGAGCTCGGCAGGCGCCGCTGGAGCCGGGAGCAGCCTCTGCTGAGAGAGTGCACACTAGATGGCACTTTTGTCCCAGCATCCGAGTTCAAACGGCTCCACGGGAGAACAGGAAAGGCCATCAGTGTTTAGTCTGCTCTCACAGAGTCCCTGCATGACCAATGTGGACCCCATGGACTTCCTGGAACATGTGTTAGCAATTTAGCAGCAGACATTTATTTCTTTGTTTTACTGCTCGGCTCTTTGAGAAAGTGTTGGTACTCAGTTATGGGCTGTCTGGATCATGTCAGAGGCCATGGGGATCAAGTCCATGTGACAGGCCAGACTGAGGAAGGATGGAGTTGGAGGAGGTGAGGAAGCTGACCCTCACTTGAGCAGGAACAAGTCACTGCCTGTCTGTGGCCTGTGGCCAAATGCCGGGGCGGTTCAGGTCTAATACAGCTGAACAAACAAAACACTTTGCCCGTTTGGCTTCTTCATATTTCATCAGCACCAGTTCAATCAAAGTCTTTTCTATTTCCTAAGAAGAGGTTCCTATTCTTAATTGTATTTCTTTTTTTTCTCTTTCCCCCTCCCCCTTTCCCACATTTTAGCCCCATCCAGGCGAGGTGACCTTGAAATCCTTGGCTACTGCATGCTGCACTGGCTGTGTGGGAAGCTGCCCTGGGAGCAGAACCTCAAGGACCCTGTAGCTGTCCAGAGTGCGAAAACAAAGTAAGGACAAACCCCCCCCCACATGGACACACCAGCCTGGAGCCCTGCAGCATCCTCACTGCTTCCCAGCTCTGGGAAACACAGCTTTCCATGCCGTAGAACAGCACCTGAGGAGAAAGCTAAAACAATTTTCCTTAATTAAGAGAGATGTTGGAAGCAGTTAAAATGGGAACTTTATGTGCATGTCTGCTCTCCTTTGCATGTTTATGTCTGTGCTGCTGTGAGGAGAGGATGGATTCCAGTGCACAGTACAGAGGCATTTTCTCTGCTGTGTATTTTTCCAATACTCTTTTTTTCCCAAGAAATCATTTGTAAATTAGCACGGGCCTTGGTGCACATACAGGAGGTTGTTGTGTGCTTCCATTAAACTTCACGGGCGCTTTGTAGAGACCGTAGTACAAACATCTCTTGGAGGTTTTTCCACATGTGCACTCAATTTATTTAACTTTCTATATGATACTGTTTTTCAGATGTTTTTCTGTAGGTTTTTAATGTTACATAAGCTACTGCCATTACAAACAATTAAATTCCAAAACACCAAGGAGCTTGGTGAAAATCTTTCCTTTTTCCCAGCATGACTTGGAGCTCACTGGAGCCACAGTGCACCAGTGTTTTCTTCCTCTGCCCTCCCAGCTGGGACAGGAGGGGGTTAACTGCACAGGGTACCTGTAGCAGGCTCCACAGCAAAGCTTCCCAGAGCTGGAGCATCCCAATAGCAGGAGCAGCAAACTTTTAAGTAGGCCAGGTCACAGCAGAGGTGCCTGCTGGGGCTGCCTGATCCCCGAAATCAGAGTGGGGCAGGGAAGGGTGGCTGCAGCTGGGGATGTTGACACCCTCTGCTGTGTTTAATATTTCTCCTTTAGAAGTTCTGATCATTACACAGCCCCCTGCAAGGTAACACTTATACAATTCAATGGGAAATCAATTTAATCAATCAAGCTGCTCCAGTGACTCTTCCCTTTCTGTTAACCCTTGGATGGCTCATGTTTCCAGGATGCTGAGCAAAAAGCGGCTTCAAGGAAATGCACAGAAAATTACACAATTTCTCTTATCAGAAATATCTTCTTACTCTAATGAATTGCATTCCTAGAATTGGGTATCTTGCCCAGGTTATCCCTCTTATCTGTCTTAATTTTCAGCTTCGTCTGGGTGCTGAACTGCCCAAGATGAGAGCTGGTGTTATTCCTGTTTTTAGGAATTGATGCTGAGCTTCTTTGCTGTTTCTGGATGGGCAGGAATTCCACCTGTGGCCCTGCTGTTTATGAAGTGTGTGGGACTTAGGGTGATAACACCTCCCTGTCCCCTTGTGGCCCTGCCGTGCCTGGGTGTAACTTTGGCAGCCACGTGCTCCATGGCAGAGGGCACCTGATGCTAAATGATAGGAAAGCAGAGCAAAAACTGCTGCTTAAATTCCAAAATAGAAATTGGAATCATCAATCTGAAATCACAACAAGCCATTTGGCTCAAAGGGGTTTTGTTTTTCCTTCTAGAAAGCTTAAAATATGTGCAAATTAAAACCTGAAGTGCAGTTTTAGGTGTCAGCCTGATCTTGGTGAAACCAGCTGTGTGCAAAGAGTTAAAAATGGAGCTGGTGAGGGGAGATGTGGGTTCAAAAGCAGTCCTGTGAATCATTAGCTATCCTGGAGGTCCACTCCCTTTGGAGCTGAGACTTGCTGTCTTCCTAAATCCCAAATGAGGAATCACCTGTTCCGAAAGCGCATTAAACTGTTGCACTCTGGTGTTGTTGCAGACTTATGGATGAGCTCCCAGATTCAGTGCTGAGGTGGGATCCTCCTGGAAGCAGCTGCAGTAAGTGTGCTTGCACCTGTACCCTCTGGCTCTCCAGCCTCTTCCTAAACACAGCTCAGTGGCTGACTCTGGGGGGGGCAGAAGAGAAGGAAAGTAACACAAATTGAACAAAGTCTTGGAAAAAAAAAGAATCTTGCTCAGTCTGTGCTGTATCCCATGGAGTGACATAAGGGATCTTGGCCATATGTAATCCAAGGTGTTGGGAAGCAGTGACTATCTTGGAAACAGAAGTAGCTGTTAGCATGGAAATAGTAAGCAACTGTCTACCAAAGGTTTATTGCTCATTGCTCAGAGTTTGGAAAAGCAAATGGATGCACAGTTTGTCTTGTCTTGTTTCTTCCTTCCCTGAAATACAAAAGTAACCCAGGGAAAACACCAAAGGTCAGTATCTATTTTTGATTTATTCCCTTATTTTCCTCGCACTTTTGTATTGGAATTACTGGAATGCAGTGTGTATTAGGTGAAATTTATTCATGATGTGTATACATATTTAATAAATCTTTCCTGCTGGGATTTGACCAGATGCTAATATCTGGTGTAGCACTCCAGTTTTAGGATACACTTGGGTCTTCAACTGAAAGAAAAGTTTGAACCTCCCATATGTTTTTCCTACTAGCATTATTTCTGCCCATTCAATGGTTTCCTTGTTTTTTGAACCACTTGATGGAAAAATGTTGCTGCTGTCGGACTGTTTTGGGATGCAATCAGAAAAACAATAGTAGTGTTTGAAGAAAAAAAAAAAAGTTTTATTTTTCCAAAACATTCCCAGTATAGTATTTATGCAGATTAAAATAATACTGTTCAGAGTAATTAATATTTGAGGGGATATTGTGATCTATCAAAGACTTTCTTCTTTTAAACAGATCTATCAATCCTTGCTGGTAAAGTGTTTTAAATTTTATCCTTGGATAGCTGTCAGTGCTGTGGGAATTAGTGCATGAACATAACGAGATGGAGCACTTCAAGTCTGGCTTGTTTATCCAAGTCTGTCTTTTCCTTTCCTCCTCCCAAAAAGACAAGACATTGTCAGTTCTGTGTTTTGAGTGTGCCTTCAGCTGAAATTGTGTTGTCTCGTTTGGCATCGGTGTTGGAACGAGATCCTTTCTGAACTTCTGGGGTTGCACTCAGTGAAATTCCCACTCTGATCTGCTCTGCAGGTGAAATAGCCAAGTTCCTGGCCTCTGTTTCTGGCTTAGCTTATGCTGAGAAGCCCAAGTATCACGTGCTGAAGAAGATCCTGCTGGATGGGCTGGAGTCGAGCGGGCTGCGCTACGACGGCCCCCTGGAATTTTCCCCAGCAGCAGCAGCAGCAGCGTGCGCACGGAATCACCTCGCTGCCAAGCTGTCCAGGGTGAGTGAGGCAGCTCTGGGAGCCCTCCTGGCATCTCCTGCCTCTTGCCTTCCCTCTTGGACAGGAGGAAATGGTTAAAGCTCTCAAAATGAGACTGACGCAGCAGTTCTTCTGCCTTAAATACACCATGTTTGTTAATTCCCGTTTCCCCTGGCTTTGCTAAAAAGTGGAATGTCAACCCTCAAGGAGGAAGAACTGCCATGAGTCCTTTTGACCCACAGGCTCTCACTTCAAAGCAGTAGGTCTGTGGAGAATGATTTACTTTCAGGATAATGGGGAAGTCAAGGACTTTGTTCACTAACATCTTGAAGACAGGCCTGAATGCCAGGTTTTTCCTTCGTCCCAGATTAAAAGCAAAGTTACCTTTATTAGTGCCAGCATTTAATTCATTTTCTTGCTTTCAGGCTGTTCTTTGTCATTTGCCTTTATCCTCCTGCAGCCCCAGTGTGGAGGAGATGTTCCTGTGGCTTTAGCTGTGCTGTTGGTGTGCACTGGCACAGGGTTTTCCAAGTGACACAGCTCTCCTGTGCTGTTTTCCTGCAGTGCTGGAAGTTAATAAAGCCCAGCTTCCCTAAGCAGAGAGGGAGGTAATTAGCAGTTTTGCTGGGAAATGTCAGGGCCGTTGTTCCTGTGGAAGTGCCCGCGTGCAGCAGCCCCGTGTGGGGCTCTGGGGCGTGTGCAATAAGGCAGGGTCAGGGTCCCATCCATTTTTAATATTCCTGGTGAACTTTGGACCATCACAAGTGTACGTGAGCCAAGAATGCAGGATGCAAACTAATGTGACTGATAGGCTGCGAGATGAATGGTGATTCAAGTATCAGTGCACAGATGGTTCTGATTTGCTGAGTTTTGTAGCTGCTGCAACTGAAGACATAAAATATCCTTCTAGTCATAAATTAGCTCTTTGGAAGCAAAACCTTGGCACCAGAGCTTTACAACCTTCAATTAGTAGGGAAAGAAGTATTTGAACGACTGTGGTATTGACATCTGTAGGCCTGCATAGTAATCATTCCTAATAGAAGAGAATATCTGTTTGAGGGGGTTTTGCATGGCTAATTAACCACCAGTGAGAATATGTAATTTTTTCATGATCTCCTGATTGTCACCTTTCTCTCATGATACAATTAGATTTTATTGTAGCAAGTGCCTCACGAACCAATTGTCAGCACTATTTACGTATTGTGGAAGGCAGAACAAAAGTTCATGTTTAATGAAAAGGTACTGGGTTTTGATCTTGGTAATTACAGATACTTACTTTAACACTTTTATTGACTTTTCTGGTTTTACCCCTTTTTTCTTTTAACAAAACCAAAGCTATTTTGGTGACTGGACTTGTGTGGCTGTGATGGTGACCACTGTGCCCTCACTCATTTGAGAAGTTCTTTTAAGTTTGCACTGTTTTGTGAACTGACTCAGAGCATCAGGTAGCTGTTAACTGATCTCCAGCTGATCCTGCTGGATCTCTGTTTCACAGCAGTCTTTGATTTCTCAGAGTCAGACACTAAATAGTAAATCTGTTTCCTTCTTAAGCCTGGTCAAAAGCTCGACAGTCTGTAGCATAAAAGCTGATTCCAACCTCGCAGGCTGCAGGAGCTGCTGCAGCACTGGATATTTGCAGGTCACAGCCCCCTGGAAAACCCCTGGCTGAGGAGTGAATGGCTGTCACCATTCCTGTGCTGTGGGATTCAGTGGGATTGGGTGTGATGGCCAGGAACAGGATCAGGGGAATGCCTGGGTGTTACTAAATCTTGGCACCTGTCAGCACTTTCTCAGGGAAATCTGTAATGCTGAGTGTCTCTCTGCTTGGAGCAGTGAGAACACCAGGATCACCTGTGTATGACTGCAGCCTGTTCCTTCAGCCAGTTCTGCTGCTGACATGAGCCAGTTTCCTCTGGGCACTGGCTGCTAAACAGCTGCAGAAAGGCAATTTTAGGTTATCCAAAGGATTTAAGTAGTACTTAAATACAAGTAGAGAGGGCAGGTAACTGAACTCTCTTGAAATTTTTTTAAGAGAGTTTTTTTTTATTTATTGCTATTTTCATTTATTTATTGCTATTTATTGCTATTTATTTATTGCTATTTTCAGCAAACGCAATGTTTCAGTGGCCTGGTGCACTTGGTGCTGGGTGACAGGCAGCTCTTCCCAAAGCATCTCCATGGCACTGCCTGGAGTGATCCTAGGCCTGACTCTTTTCATCTCAGTGTTCCCTCTCTCCTTTTCTTCCCCAAACACATCTCCCATTGAAGAGAGAACCTTGGAACAGTGGGAGCCACTGCAAACAAACCACTGGCTCCTCACTTGTTGCTTGTGGGCAGGATCTGACTGCAGCTGATCTGATTCCTTCTGTATCACTTTGGTGCACAGGAAATGAGGAGATTTGGGGTTAATTCCCCTCTGAAGAGCCATGAACACCTGTACCAGAGGCTCCTGTAGCATCAGCTCCTTGATGATGTGCAGAGGATTGCATGGATTTTAGGATATTGTTCCCTGTGTAGAATCTGATCTAATCTTGAGGTGGCATAAGAAGTGTAGCAGTGGCTATATCCTGATTCTTGGTTCCAACTGCACACCAAGATAGGTGATAAAATATTATTTCCATTAATTCCCATGTTTGTTTACCACGTTTTTTGTCTCTGGATAAATATTTTCAGCTTCTCCTCTTACAGTGAAAGTGCTGATGTTAGGAAAGTGGGGTGAAAGTGAGTGGAAGGCCAGGTTACTGCTGGCTTGATCTTGTAGAAATCAGACTAAAAAACAATTGCATTAATACCAACCTGTAATTTCATTAGGATGAAGTATGGTCATTTTCAGATGTAAATCCACTTATTTTCACTTCTGCAACTTTTAAGTGAAAACTTGGTTTTGCTGTAAGTCCTGTTTGGAAAATGATGCAGTTGTTTAAGGTGTGTATATGTGAAGATCATTCTTTTTCTGTGCGAATCTGGACTTTTTTTCACTGTACAAAATGCTTACTGTGCATCCCAGGTTCGCCTCCCAAAGCCTCCAGCAAAAGCAGCTCAGCAGAAGGGAAAAAAGCCACAAGGTGAAGAAGCTGCCTATCAAAACCAAGGCACACAGCTCCTGGAAGAAGGAAAGCCAAGCACACGGAGCAGGAGGCGTCCCCAGGCAGAGCTGCAGCAGGTGAGGATCTGGGGGGGGCAGCAGCACCCAGCTCTCCCTGTTCATTGGCTCCATGTCCATCTCGTGGGGTGGGTGAGGAGGAACAGGGCTGGGAAAGAGCCACGGGCTCTGTCACAGACTCCAGGAGCTGGCAGAGGCTTGCTGGCTTCCAGTATTCCACAGGGGAACCTGAGTCCCTGGCAGCCCAGGGCATAAGTGCCAGGAGGGCAGTGCCTGAGCTGCCCCAAGCCTGGCACCTCCAAGTGCTGGATCAGGACCTGGGCTAACTCTGAACTCACTGAATTCCTTTCAGCACACACAGTTACTGTCTGTACCTCAGTGGGCTCCCTTGGCCAGGCCTTCCCTAAAGGCAGAGCAGCAGAAGGAGGACATGGGGCAAGAGGAGCAATCCAGCTACCTGAGCAGGCCCCAGACCCGGGGAACACGCCGGCAGCTCCACGTGGAAGAGAAGCCACTTCCATTTTACACTACACAGCAGGAGCCTGAGCACCCAAAAAAGGTGAGGGGTTTGGTGTTGCCATTCAACAGTCACAGTGCCTTGAGAAGGAAAGATCAGCTTTTCTAAAAACAGGAGTTCCAAAAACCCCTTGAGGGCTCAACTGCATGTACACAAACTCTGTTTGCCACAAACACTCAAGGTTTGTGGGCAATTGCCTGTATGCACTATTGGCCAGCTACCACTGCAGTTTGTGTAGCTGCAGAGCAAATCTGTGCATGTGGATGCAAATTGTTATTTCCCAACTCTTCTGTCTCCCTTTGTGGACCCTGTTGTTTGCTTGGTAGAAACTTGGTTCAGTAGTTTCCTTCTGTGTGTAGTGGAAAACTTCATAGCACTCATTACTTAAGCCCTTAAATTCTGAGTTTTACATCAGAGGATTTTAGCAGTTAACAAACTCACCTTGAAAAGATCTGAATTAATAGTTTGTCTTACTCTTCAACCATACATGGAAAAAAAGCAAAAAATTAATCAGTTTTAGTAAAAATAATACAGCACCATGTCCATCTCAGTGATCACCCTGTGCTCCTGTTCTCTTGGAGCTCTGGTGATTTTAGTGAGTGGATTCCACCCTGGTTTCCTACCATGTAAACAAATAACTTGGTTAAATGAGGACACCTTCTAATGAGCACAAAAACGCAACTTTAAAGGTAGCTTTATGATTAATCCAAAATTCTTTGCTTCAAGCAGTCTGACCATCACTGCCTGGAGACTCCGGTACAAGCTGGGAGAGGGAAGCAGCAAAAGCACAGCTGTACCTGAGAGCACCAGGCAGGACAGTGGTGAGCAGAACCATCCTGGGAGGTGTTTTGGCTGCCAGCAGGGGAGATGGTGTCTGACTTGATAGGAAAACATTCCACTGTTACTTCCTAGTCCACAAATGTAAAGTGTTTGCAGAAAAGGGACCAAGCACTGGGCTGGTGGTTAGATGATATTTGTGTTTGGATTTAGTTTTTCTAATGGAAATGCTGCTATTCCAATAGGATTACATGTGCTGTTTCTATGTAGAACCATTCTGCATAATAGGGGGGGCTTTAAATGGGTGTCAGATAACATTTAAGCCAGCCAAATGAGAAAGTGGACAAGGAAAAAAGGGAGGATTTTCTTAGCTTCACTTTGCAGAATTTCTCTCATGTAATTCAGGAGTTTGGTTATGGAAAGCTCTGTAGGAAACCAGAGCTGTCCCTGGCTCTAAGGGACAGTTGAAAAGAGAGTCCAATCTTAGCTGAGAAGTGGGATTGTGCTGTTTGGGGATCCCTTTCAGAGGAGGAGGACAGACAATGCTGGCCAAGCCCTGGCACCCCTGGCCAGCCACACAAGCCCTGCTCTACAAGTTCATGTTCCTTGTGATGGGCACAAGTTTGACTTCACTGTGAAATGCAAAATTTACACAAATCAAATCAGCACCTTCACCCTTAAAATCATGTCTTGAGTTTCCAGGATAAACCTTTATTACACAGGAAAGACTGAATATATTAAATGTTTTTGGACACAAGTCAAAGACCAAGAAGAATTTCAGCTGCAGAGTTCAATAGTAAATATAGATCTGTCTCCTCAGGAGGTGTTTACCCATGCCTTATGATACACACTTACAATATCCATACAAGTGCAAATTTCAGAGGTAAGACTCTGTAAGGACTGTAATGCCTTCTCTAGGATAACTTAAATACCTCAATGGCATCTCTGGTTTTCTGATTCACATCTCATTTCATATTAGCTTTATAATCACAGCTATTTTTCCCCTGCAGGAAGACACTGCAAGAGAGCTGCCACCATTTGACCCCTACAGAACACTCTCAGAATCCCGAAAGGAGCACAGTCACCTTGTAACTCCTGTTCCTGCAGCAGTGTCCCAGCCTGGTGCTGACACCACTCATCCCTCTCTCTCTGCTGTGTTTAAGCTTGCATTTGCTGATCAAACCTACCCCTACACTGCAGCTGTTCTGGTGCTTCTGGTGCTCATTGTCCTGTCCTTGTATCTGCTTTGATGTTGCTGTTCCTGTGTCTTCAGTGGGAGTGCAGTGGTGCTCCCACAATGCAGCTTTTAGAGTTTCTTCATTGAAGATTTCAGTGTCAGGGGCTTGAAAAAGAAGTTTTTAAATAATCCTGTCAGTACAGGCCTTGTACAGGCAAGTTCTCATCTGCAGTCAATAGTTATGGATTCTCTGAACTATCTGTGTTGGCTTCTGTTATAAATGTTGAGGTTTTTTTATTGTTTGTAACTGAAGCTTTTGTTACGACATTAAAAAAGTATTAAATACAATGGAGTATGGTCTTTAATTACTCTGGCATTAGTGTGGGGCTGTCTTTATACTGTGTCAGAAAACTTTCAGTTAAACACTGCTGCATTTGCCTTTCCTACTCTAGTTCACTCCTACTCCATGGCTTTTCTTACCTTATTACAATAGGGACATTCACCAAAGATGACATTAAAGCTCTGTCTGCTGGTAGAAAGGCCTTGTAGCCACTGCAACACAAGAAGTGGGTTTAAAGTCACATTGGTTTCACCTCTAATTTAAGAAACATCTATTAATTACCAGAGTTCAGCTGATGAACATCTGACAGGGTGCATGCAGTCAGCCTGTGGCTCCCTTTCCCAGAGAGCTGATGTAGGAATTGGGGGTGACAGGACACCTGACTGCCACAGTGTTCCTCATGGGCTCTTGCTTAATGCAGAATGTAAGTGCCAGTGCTTGTTGTGCAGAAGTGCCAGCAGCTGATGCCAGCTGTGCCCCATGTCCCTTTACCTCATAGAGACAGGCCTGGTGGAAGGGCTGCCCACATGTTGTGCATGCAGAAGGTGCCAGCAGCTGATGCCAGCTGTGCCCCATGTCCCTTTACCTCATAGAGACAGGCCTGGTGGAAGGGCTGCCCGCAGCGGGGATCGTCGCACACGTGGTCGGGCGCGCTGCCCTCCAGCCGGTAGGCGTAGCAGATCCCACAGTCCTTGGCAAAGTCCTGCAACAACAGCACGGCTGAAAGGCAGGGCTGGGCTGCCCACACACAAACAGCTTCACCTCTGGTTTTGTTTTTGCAGTTTTTGTTGGCTGGAATTACTGTTTTCTGCCTTTAAGACATCCATGTTTATGTCACAATGGCTTAGAGTGACACTGGGTTCCAGGTGTGCAAGACTTGACTGGGTTATATTTCATCCCTTACTGAATTACATCTAATTCAACAAGCATTTTCATACTTTTGGGTGCTTTTTGTTTATTAACCACTATGTTTTGTCATTAGACACAGATCAGATCTTAATTTAGAAGCTTCTGAGTGAAAGCAAATCTCGTAATCCAGTGTTAAAGCATTGTCAAAAATTAGTTCCCAGTTTGTTTGAAATGCACCAGTATTTGGATGGCCTCTTGTCCCCTCTAAGCAGCTCCACCTAATTAGAACTGAAGTCATCAACATCCATAACAGAATGTTTGGATTTTCCACATCTCATTAGCCACTCTGGAACATCCTCTTTTCCTTTTAATAGTGGAGCCTGTTATGAATGCCCTCATTGCTATGAAGGCCACAGGGAAGTGTGCACCTCTAATCAAAGGTTAACAAGCTCTGACAACTGTTGCTTGAAGTTCAGAAGTCCTTGTGACAATGAATTAATCCAATTACCTCTCAAAAGTCCCTGATTGTCCCTGGCTCTTAGAAAGTGACCATTTAAATGTGACTTATTCAGCAATAACGACTGGTCATTAACCAAAACAAACTTACGCTTTTTTCCAGCACACCACGGGAGGGAAAATCAATTCCTAGGAGCTCTCTCAAGTTCTGTAACAAACTGACTTCTGGGTCCCTGTGGGTGGGAGAGGGGAGAGAAAAACCCACCTGAGGAATTGAGGAATGGCAAACACCACTTGGGTTTCCAGCCTGCTCTACCAGGGACACTCACCACAAGTGCATGTTGCTGTTGAGTTTGGTTCTCAGGGGGTTCACTTCTGCAAACAGACAGGAATAATGGCATCACCCCAGTGAGCCTCCCAGGCTCAGAGATCTGAGGCCAGAGGAGAAACCAGGGGAATTTGCTGCCTTACCATGATCTGCCCCAAGGAAATAACACTCTGGAAGCATGTTTGGATGGCGAGGATCAACCTCTATGTTCACTGAGACATTGTTCCCTGCAAGGAGAAAGCAAGGCCATGGGGAAGCTTTGCAGTCAAGGATTTGAAAAGGGAACCATTTTTAAAGGCAGTTTTAAATTGGTTAACTCAGGCTGGGTTTTGTTAGGATAAATAATAACAAAGTTGGGAGGTGTCCAAATGATTGTACAAAATATGAGTATATAGCAAATACTTACATTTCCACAAACTGTAATTAAAAGTAGCAACTGATTAATTAAATCTGTCAGGCTTGTGTTTCTTTTAGACTTGGCTTAACCTTTACACTTACTCAGAAAGACACATAATCAACCCAAGCTAGATGACAACATCCATCCAAAATCTTGGTGAAACTTTAAAGGTAGAGACATGTAACTTACTAATTCATTTTAATCTTTTATAGTCAAAAAGAGAAGCCCAAACCCAACATTAAGCAGCAGAAGTCAGTCCTCTCCCTGGCAAATTCCAGGACTGAGACAACAAAGCTGTGTTTTTGAAACAGCAAATATTTGGCTTTTCAAGACCCCCCAGCATCCCTGGAAGGGGATGTTCCTCAGAGGGAAGCAGCTCCAAAACATCACAGCAAATTCTCCTCTGAACAAGGCCAGGTAAAACCCAACCTTTTCTGTAATTAAAGCTGTGTTAAGCTCTCGTCCTGGAAGAGGTGGGAATGAATGAAATCAAAGTTCAGGGGTAGCTGAAGGTTCCCTGTGCCTGATAACAAAAGGCTCAAAGCCCTGTCCCTCCTCTGCTCAGCTCCTCCAAGGCACTTTTTGAGGCTTTTCCTCCCTTTTCCTTGGCCTGTGGCAAAGGGCAGCAGGACCAGGACAAAGCCCCCCTGCCTGCACACAAAGTGCTGCCTGACCCACACCATTCCAGCCACTGCTGAACTTTTCCTGTCCTTCCCTCCAGCTCCTTCCTCCCTCCCTCTACAGCTGTCAGGGACAACGTGGGTCCACTCTGCATTCTCACATTTCAATTTGCTATTGGTGATGTGGATTTTGTATAATTATAAAATTCCTTATCCTATGTATGTTAAGACCTTAAAATGCCAGACATCAGCATATAAACTGAGGTACATTTTACAACTGAGGTGTTGACAGGGAAGCCTCATTTCTTTTTATTTCTGTCCTTTCCCCTTGCCTCCTTTAACTCCCTTTTTCCCCTTGGGCTGCACTCTAATATTCCTTCCACTCCAACAGGATGAATCTAAAGTTTAAAACTCTGGAATTTGTGATTGAGGTAAGGGCTTCACCTAAACTGATTTTTCACAAATGCTGATTTTTCTAAGGTTACCATGTAAGTGCTCAGCTGTTGACAGTTCCATGTTCATAATTCACAAATACACAAAGTTTTCCTGCAGAAATTTTCCTTTATCTGACACCAGAAAGTTGTAATGAACTTCCCAAACAGGATCAGCATTCTGTTATGGAAAATTTTTTTTTTTTAATATGCAAAAGAAAAGTTCTAACTTTGGTTTTAAGTGCTGCTTTTCCTTTCCCAAACCCAAAGAAGCACCATCTGATGAGACAAGCAAAACAAACCATCTCCCTGAGCTTTACTTCTCAAATCCACTGTATCCCTTTACATCTTTTCCTACCTATTGCAATTCTCCTGCTTGTGGCGCTCCGGGTGGGATTTTCTGGCTCAAGCACCCACGTCCTGCCATCGATTTCATCCAGGGCATCCCAGAATTCCTTCAGCGACTCCAGTGCTGCCAGGAACTGGTTGTAAATGTCTATTAAGGAGTTCTAAGAAAACAAGAAATTTAAACAGATTTCATTGAGTTTCCACCAGCAGCCTGAGAGTATATTTAAAAACCAATTTATTCATTTAAGGAGTGTTGAAATCTATGTGTGTGTCCCAGTGTATTGTGATAGCATAAAACATGGAATATCACCTAACAACCTGATCATTATCTCAAAATTAAGTAGTATAAAAACAGGTGCTTAAGATCAGCTTTCAAACCCTGTAAATAAGGCACAAAAAGGAGAAACCATCTAATAAGCAGAGGATTACACGTGGGGGATTTCAATATTTGAGAGTGGATTACAGGGAATCAGAAATATCTTTCATTAGACAGGACAATATACAGGACAGCAATGCCAAAGAAATCTTTTTAAATTATCAGTGGGCAAAAAGAAGTCACCATTTCCCCAGGAAAAGACTTCTGCAAGAAGAGAAAACATTTGGTGGTCAAGGGAATCCTTTGCAGGTGCAGATGCCCATTGAGGGACAGATTTCAAATATTTTGAGGTTCAAATGAAAAAGCAAATTAAACATTATTTTCTCACACAGGTATTTTTCTATGAATTAAACAAAATACAGAAGGAATGGTTTCCTTTAATCTGTAGTGATTATATTCTTCCTTTCTCACCTGGACAAAGAGCAGCAAATTATCTGAGTGTTCTCAGATGAAGAAATAGAATTTTTCTACATAATAACTTTTTATATTTTGTGCATGTGTATTTTAGAAAGAAACGGCGTAGCTTGGAAATAAAATGCTACATTTTTTCCTGCTGTTGTTAAATTATATTAAAGTAGGAAAGCACCTAAGCAGAGAAGTGTGAATTCTGCCAATCTCGAAATGTAACGCTTATTATCTTTAAAAGCATTTTGTTACTTTTATAATACCTGAAGTGATATAATAGTGTCAGTCACTTAACCACATCTTAGAGTATAGTATCTTCATCTTAAGTACTATTATTTCCAGTATTTTAATAATTTTCACACAGTCCTGAAATGTGATCTTTTGTGCTCTGATGACACTTAAATTAATAGCATAATTTTCTGGTACTTGCAACAGTTGCTTTCCATTTTGATTTTTTACATTTTTCTATATCACATACAGATAAATCCTCTAATAATCATTTTTATCTTTATCTTCCGGGAATTCAAAGGGTTTCACTAGAAAAAAGAAACATCAAGGGATTATAACCCACAGATAAGTTTTAAAATCCAATTAATTTTAATACTAATTGTAATTTTTCAATGATGTTCCTTAAAAAGGTAGTTAAATCTTTTTCTTTTTTTTTCTGCACTGTTCATTTGATCTTATTTGCATGCTTCACTGATGTTGCCAGCTGTCTCCTGCTCTATACCTAAATGCATCTATAGCTATTTAAATACATCACCTGCTTGTCATGCAAACCATGAAAACTCCAAGATT